CGTTTTTTTACAATAGGGAAACATATATATATATATATATATATATATATATATATGAAAGAACAATTGGTTTGGGAAAAAAAAAGGGTTAATTTTTGGGGAGATATTCTTAAGAATCCCATGCATCAAGTCATTGAAAGTGTATTTCCTTTGAATTTTCCTTTTTAAAGAGATTATTTTGACAGGATTTTATTTGATTACTCATTAAGGAATCACTTGTAAGCCTTGAAATAAATAATTAAACAGTTGGAGATTCTCTAGAATAATAAATAATTAATTTTTCCAGCTCAACATTCAAAAGTTTAATTTTGTCAAGAAAAAGATTATCAAAGGAGATAGAGTAGCCCTTAATTATTTAAAAATGTTTCATATATATTGAAATGTTACAAGTTCAGAATTTGGAATAAATCTCCAATAGTTAATACTATAGTAGGATAAAAGGAATTAAGGATGGAAGGAGATCTTTGAAATTCAAAGAAAAATTAAAATAGTGGATGCTATCACGTAACATTATAGCAAGCCACTAATTAAGACGAATAAAATCTTACTTCCAAGATATTATGAACTAGTGATATATTATTATTATTATTATTTGAAGTCTATTTTAAAATAAAATAAATAAATAAATATAAGAAAAGGATTGTATATATACAAAGAAATTAAAGAAATCAAAATATTGCCATTTAATTAAAATCTAATAGTACTAGATCTTCTGATGTACTGAGCATATAAATAGATCTATTACAAGAATTGTCATTACATGTAGTTTCCTTATTTATAATAATACATCGGCTAACCTATTATGTAGTGCAAGAACTTTACTCTCAATACATTACAAAGAGAGAGAGAGAGGTTTGAGAAATAATATGCATACACACACAAATATAAGTACATATATAACTAAAGGAAATGTTTTCATAATGAAAATATAGAAATAGGTGATGCAAGCATATGCATCGATCAGTAAAGTTTTAGACATTCCTTTTTTCTTTTTTTCTTTTAAAAAAAATTGATAATAAATTAGTAGTAAAATAAAAAAAAAATCTTCAACATAATTTGGACTTCTTCATAGTTGTTTAATATACTTCAAAAAATAAATAAATTATATAGGTTTAAACTGATTATTCATGTTTTCCTGTAAATACTTTGACATCCAAGTTAGGAAACTGTGAAAGAAAAATAACATATAGAAGAAGGTTTATATACACAATATTTCATGAATAAAAACTGTTTTTGAGATAGTTTTTAGTGATTTCTCACATTCAAATTAAGTTTTTTTTTATTTGATGAATAGATTTCTTACAAAAGACCACATGGATTCCTAAAACATATATAGCATAGGTGCAATATTAATTCTAGACCCCCTAAATCCATTCAAAGTCAAAGATGGGTAGACTTCTCTAATCATATATAGCATTGGCTTGGTCTTGTGGACGTGATTTAATTATCTTTGCCTTTTCTTCATTTCAGAATCCACTTTATCTCCCCCACTAAATTGGTCTAACAAAGCACTTTCCATGATGTACAGAATAGGAGGGAGCTAGCTAGCTTTATAAATAAACTAAGGTTTGAATAAGTGCTAATCATGGTCTTGAAGTACCCATAATCAAACTTGAAAAGGGGGCGATCGATTATCATGGGATTTAGAAGCATAACTAATGAAACTAGGGTCTAGTGTTTCATGTCGGGATGATAAAGGACAAGCTCCTAGGATTGGTTTTATTTATATAATTAAGATCAGTCTAAACAAGATGCCCCCTTTTAATCATGGTTTGGGGTGTTGTCTTGTAATAAAGCTAGAAGGTTAATTTTATCATTAAAATGTCAAATTAACATGCCTCTTGCCTCTTGCCTGAGAGTAAGGTTTTCTTTTATGAAGGTAGGTGTGATTCATTAAAAGATGGTGCTGAATTAAACATGCACACACAGTCTTGTTGATGAGACATATTGAAGTGATGACTGATTTGATCCTTGAGCTTTAATCAATGGTCCCTTTTCATGTTATTCACGTATAGACAGGGGCGGAACCAGAATATAAAATCAAGAGGGGCAAAATGCGGTGATTTATGCAGTGTTTTATAAAAACACTAAGAATAAATTTAAAAAAGACTCGAAAATTTTTTTTCTTGCAGGAGCCGGGCCCCTTGCCAGCCTCCCCTGTCTCCACCCCCTGCATATAGAGCTCTAAAACTCTTCTTGAAAAAGAATTCACGAGTTTGGAGGATTCAAGGATCAAATAATCTAAACCCTAGATAAATTAGATCCCAGATCGATTCACCGGATTTATCCAGGTCTTACAACTGGAATTATAAAATTAGAAGAAACAATTATTTGACGGGATGTTGATGTGAGAGAAGAAGAGGTTGGCTTTTATTTCCTATCTGATGAATTGAAGCTTTCAATGGGCCAATGATCATCAAGGGAATCACCGACCCTAT